TGCGTGTAATCATCAATAAAGGTGACGAAGTACCGAGAAGTACCCAAGCCGCTGGTGTAATTGGACCGCACACATCGGAGTGCACTCGTTCTAGAGGTCTTGTAGCACGGACTCTAGTACCCGTGAATGGTTCTCGGCACTGCTTTCCGAGAACACAAACATCACAAAAATCCAATTTATCTGGTTTCTCGGGAATACCTGTTACCATGCCATGCTTCGCGAGTGTCTGCAAACTCTTGCTCCCCAAATGAGCCAGTCGACGATGCCACAGGTTACCAGTCACAGCTCCACACATGTTGGCCGCCACCGTATCGACACGGAGATCGAGCTCGTAAAAATCGCCCCGCATGGGACATCTCGCAATCAGGTCACGACCTTGCTTCATGATCGCTTCCTTTTTCGTGAATGTGACATCAAGATCCGCTTTTGCCATCTTCTTCACAGATAGCAAGTTCGCTCGAAGATCTGGTACGAAGAGGACGTTCTTCAAGCTGATATAGTTACCTTCCTTGTTGACGCCGTTGATCGTGCCACTGTGCCGGGAAATCAGGGATTGATCATCCTTCGCCACGTTTATGACGACAGGGTGCTTCAGCTTCGTGAGGTCGGCGAAACAGTGCTTCACATTCACAAGGTGGTCCGAGGCTCCGGAATCCAGCTTAAAGGAAACTGCTCCCTCGTCCTTTGTTTGGGAGCATCTCCCGGTCATAAAAGCCACCGCCTTACCTCCAGCAGCAGCGTTAGCTTCAGCGCGCCCATCTGTCTTCAACTTCACACGACAGTCCTTGGCCTTGTGCCCCTTCTTCTGGCAACGGTTACACTTTCCGGTGAACTTACCAGGCTTCTGCTTCGATCCTTGGAATGCTGCAGGTTTCTCTTGGCAGGAATCCGCTGCCCGGTCGGTTTTCTTGAGCTCCTCGGCAAGAAGGCGCTCGCGAACAACATCCAGTTTTAGGTTTTCCTCACCTAGATTTTCCAGTGCCGTAACCAACGGATCGAACGACTCGGGAAGGGTAGCAAACAGCTGGGACACAATATCGTTCTCTTCAAGCTTCGCTCCGGCCAGCTTCAGTTGTCGGATCAGCTCTTCGAAGGTTTTCAGGTGATCTTTCACAGACGAACCTTCCATCATTCATAGCTTCGCAAGTTGCTTCCTGAGGAATGTCTGCGACGAGACGGACTTCTTGGCGTAGGCGGATTCAAGGCTCATCCACATCTCCTTGGACGTCTCCTTTTCCCGCACCAAATGCAGCAAATCGTCATGAACAAATGACGTCAGCAGGAACGCCGCCTTACCGTCATCTTCCTGGAACTTCGTGAGCTCGGCCGCTTCCATCGGAGGATCCTTCTTGATGATATCCAACAGCTTCACGGACTTCAGATACTTCTCCACTCGAAATTGCCAATTGTCGAAACCGGTGCCCGAGAACTGCGGGATCCCGTGGACCAAATCCTTGCGTGAGTCGCCCATAACCTCTTGATGGTTAGAAAGAACCGGAACAGCAAAGTTTAAAAGTAGAATGGATTTTATTTAACGACTAGCTTGAGTGGAGTCTTGAACAGGAATGAAAAGTTTTTCACCGTTGTTTATTTAAGAAAACTTAGGTTGCTAGGGGTGACGTTCGGTCTCCAAGGAGGTGATCAGCACACTGCGTTACCGATTTACTCCAACAAAGCAGCTATCCGAAACATAAAATCCAACAAGGCTCCAGGGGTCGATCGCATATCAGCAGAGATGCTATCCGCTCAAATGTTACATCAACTATTCTGTAATATCTGGGACACCGCGACTTTTCCGGCCGACTGGATGCAGGGCGTCTTAGTAAAGTTCCCAAAGAAGGGGGATCAGACTGGGTGCGACTGAGGCGAGGCATCATGTTACTGTGTATTGTTCTCAAAGTTCTGTGCAAAGTTATCCTGAATCGGATACAGGAGAAGATCGACCTGACTCTCCGGCGCCACCAGGCAGAATTCCGTGCCGGGAGATCTTGTGTGGACTATATTGTCACGCTCCGCATCATCCTACATCCGCTACTGTTCCTCATCGTAATCGACGAGATCATGGTGACCGTGTACCGACCCGTTGGCTGCTTTGGCATCACCATGGAGCATCTCAACGACTTCGATTTGGCTGATGATGTTGCTCTACTGGCACAACAGCGCTCTGATATGCAGAGTAAGCTCAATGACCTAGTCGAACGCTCCTCTGCGGGGGGTTTCACCATCAACGTCAACAAGAGCAAATCGTTGATTGTCAACACGGGCAACCCTTCCAAATTTACGGTAGCGGAGCAAGCAGTGGAGAAGGTCGAAAGTTTCCAATATCTTGGCAGCCATATAGCGTCGGACGGCGGGACCAAGAGCGACATAGGTACACGAATCAAGAAGGCTAGGGCTGCCTTTGCGAGTTTACGAAAAGTATGGAGATCAAACCAGATAAGTCAACGCACCAAGATCCAAACTTTCAACTCGAATGAAATCTATGTTGTTATACGCCAGCGATATATAATTCGTGCCCGGTGGCCTCACAACTGGATCTCGAATGCCGAGCTCCATCGTCGATGTCATCAGTAGCCGATAGCAACAGAAATTCGAGAGCGAAAGTGGAGGTGGGTCGGCCTCACAGTTCGACGGGGTAAATTTGCAAGCAAGCGCTGAATTGGAATCCGGCAGGACATCACAGCAGAGGCAGACCCAGGGGCTCATGGCGACGGAGCCTCAACAAGAAAATAAAGCAAGTCGATAGGAACCTGACCTGGGCACAGGTTAAGGCAAAAGTGAGTAGCCGCTGCGGATGGAAGTCTTTCACGTTGACCCTTTGCACCTCCGGTGGTGTACAGGACCCTTAAGTAAGTTCCTTCCCATAACTGGTACGGGGTCGCATCCGAATCGATCGAATTTATGGGCTCCGATTCTTCTTCTTAAAAGGACACTTGGAAAGCTTATGTCCTTTCTGCTTACAGCAAAAACACTTGGATTTTTTCTTCGATTGCTTTCGGGGTGCATGATTCCACACCTATTCCTCGATAGTCAAATTATCTTCCGGCATGGTCTCTAATGCCGTCAAGACGGTGGAATATGCCGGTCCCAATGTGAGGAGCAAGTGACATATCACATCCGGCTCCTCCATGTCGGCTCCTGTTCCACGATAATCCTTCACAGGTCGATCGAAACCATCGAAACGCAGGAAATGTTCCTGCCAGTGAACCATCGTCAAACGCAGAATCAACATCTGACGTTTCAGGTGCATACGGCTTTGTCGTTCGAATACTTTCGTCAGGATCGATTTACAACTACGCTCCTACGTTTCAATCGCTTTTTCAGCAACTTCTTTTTCTGCTGTCGAACTTTTGCAGCATCAATGGCTTGTTCCTACAGCTCTTTCAAATTAAAGAGCCTGAATTTATAAAGAGACGACTTGTCAAAATTGGAACTATCGATTATCTGTCAAAGTCATAGGAAAAGTTATTCCAATCGAGCAGAAGACCTGTCAAATGGATAAGATGTCGTCTCTTTATGAATTCAGACTCTTTATTTCAAATGACTGGTCTCCTTTCAGGAGTACCCGCATGCGGTGAAATTTGAGCCATCGAACAGTGCCAGTTATGATTATAAAGATAAGAAAATATCTCGGTAGCATCCGCTACAAAGGGGACACGACAGTGTTCCCAGAGGTTGTACCCTAACAGTGGGATATCTTGTTAATTAGATATCTTTGATTTACTTCAAATCATAAATTTGAACAGCTATAACTTTGTTTAGAGACATTCTAGCACCGTACTTCATTCGGCAAAGTTGTTAGGCACTTTCTGGACTAAAATGTCACAAGATTAGTTGCATGGTTTAAGCAAAATCTCTAGTCTCTACTTAGATCCCTAGAGGTCTGGTGGTATCTAGGGATGAAAATGAAAAAAAGTAGGTTTTCTCATACTAATTTCCATAACAATTTCAAACAAAATGTGCAAAGCCGGCTTACAACCAATCGTACCGAAATTTTGCACGGTTGAATGGGACCCCAAATGGAAGCAAAAAGAGGGTTGTTCTCGCTTGATGAGGTTAAGTTTGCGTTTTTTCATATAACGGTGACCTACCCTAACATGCATATTGATTTACAAAATTCAAAAACAGTAAAACTGGAAAGAACTGTCAAACGACTTTAGACCACATGACATATAACCCGCAAGTCCGTCTTTGCCAATTTGCAAGACTTGTAAAAGCCCGCCCTAATAAAAAATAACCATAAACGAACGATAACCCAAATCATTGAACTATTCCACAAATGGTTTGGATGATACCCAGAAAACGTCGTTAAGCAAATTAACCATACAATTTTTATTAGGGCGTTTTATCGCAAAAGTCTTACATAAACAAATTTGCAAAACCTAAACATTTTGAAAATTTATCCAGGTTCAAAGACCTTAGACATTTTTAATGTGCCAGGAATTTAAAAATAAATTAAATCCCAGACACTTGATTAGAGCAGTTCCACCGTTCCACTCCAACTGTCAAATCAATTTTATTTTTCCCTTTCCGAATGGACAAATCCAAGTTAGAATCGGCCACCGTGGCGCTGCAATCGCAGGTATCCACCTAAGAGAAGAGGTGACAATACGGGGGCGAAAATGAACCACTTTTCTGTCAAACGTGAACCAGCTCCTGATTGGCCGATTTCATGTGCGTAAGATAGAGATAGAGATAGATAAAGATAGAGATAGAGATAGAGATAGAAATAAAAGAGGAAGAAGCCAATTGTCACCTCTTCCTCTTAGGTATCCGCAAGTATGATAAGTCCGAAATGCTCGTGCAATATTTGAAAAGAGCCTGTCAACTTTTTAGGTAATTTTCCGCACGAACCAAAGTACATCCACCGAAATTTTACCCGAGAGCAGGTCGTTGACAGTTTCTGCCAGATCGTGGTGTTTCCATTGAATCGACGGACGAGTTACAGTAGACTGACTGCACGGATAACAAATCGAAATGAAAGATTGCCTCAATCGTGATTCCACACGTTGATTATGATGTCTGTGTCAGGGAAGTAGGCTTCAAGGCTTTCGAAGATCACGAAAATAATGCGAACGAATAGGTGATTACAATTTACCCTACACAATAGAGTGATACCATACGAATAAATACTTACGACAAGAGATCAAAATTAATCAGTCACTTACCTGCCTACTTCCTTTCAATCTTGGAGCAAACCTTCTTATGCCGGGACAGCGAAGCCGGTGAACCAAATCTGGCCCCGCAAGCCACGCACTCCATCGGCTTCTCGTGCGTATGGATCCGTTCGTGGATCCGTAGTTGCTCACGCTCCCGGAACTTCTTGCCGCAAGTTTCGCAGATGAATGTTTCCTTCTCGTGGGTTCGCATATGGCGCAAGTAGTCGGTACCCTTGATGTAGCGCCTCCCGCAAACCGGACACTTCCGGAACTGGTCTTCGTCCATCGCAATACCGTGCTTAGATTGGCGATGTCTCTGCAACATCAGCTTCGAGTAGTGCCGCTTCCCGCACAGATCGCACGCGTAAATATCCGAGTGAATGTTGTTGTGGTTGGCCCGGGATGTCGGCGAGAAGAACACCTCTTCACAGTGCTTACAGGGATAGGTTTGGAACTCGGCGTCCGGGTGAACCTGCTCCAGGTGCGTCACCATGTCCTTGGACACTTCCAATGCCACCAGGCACAGGTTGCACCGGATTTCGGTCGACGTTCGGGTCGTCAGGCTCGGGGGCTTCTCATCCCCCCGGTGTAGCTTCAGGTGCCGGGTGAGGTTACGCTCCGAGGCGAACGTTTTATCGCAGATTTCGCACCGGGCGATGACCACTCCTTGATGCCTGAACTGGGTGGGGGATGGAGATGTGGAGGTGTTAGATTAGTAATGTTTTGGTGGTATTGCCGCGAAAATTTCACACGTTGCTTGATAATGTTGATGCCTGTGCTGGGGGAGATAGCTTCGCACTTCATTAGATTGCATACAGGGTGACCACTTTGATTTCAGCAATTGGTGTCATTGGAAAAAAGTTACACATATGGTGTGTTATAGAGATCTCAATTAAAACATATATGGCTCTTGGACTGGATTAAAATTTTAGGATTTTGACAGAGAATTATGATGAGAATGCCAAATGAGTTTTGAAGAGAATTGTAAAGGAATTATAGGGGAAATTATAGAAGAATTCTGAGGAGATTTTCAATAGAATTTGACTAGAAATTTCAGGTAATTTTGAGAAGTAGGGGAAATGAATGTAATGTCGGCCTAAATGCTCTTAATTTGGGCCCATACATAAATTCAGCAATCGACTAAATTTTCAATAGCGACCAAAAATATCCATTAGTACCGTCCCAATGATGCGTTCATCTTGATAAAATTGATAAATAGCAGATTTTTAGCGATGGGCCCAATCTTAGATCCATAGGCCAACATTAGTGCCATTTCCCCGATGCAAAGAAAATTACAAGGAGAACTACAATCAGAAGATTCTCAAGAAAGAAATGTTCAAGCGAATTCTAAGGAGATTCGAGAGAATTCCGAAAGATCCTTTTTAAGGGATTTTGAAAAACATTTCAAGGAAATTGTGAGTAAAATTCCTATGTTAATCTGATAATAAATCCTAAGAAATATTGGGACAATACTGTTTTGAATTCTAAATGGCATACAGGAATGATGATGATCAAAATAATCAATAGAAATTATTTTAAATTATCGCGAAAAATTTTAAGAATACTAAGATTAATGCATTGTGAATTTCAAGAGTTTTCTGGAGGGAAATCCCGAAGAGTTCTGCACAGATTTCACATTTTTATGGAGACAGGAAATTAATCCTAGGAAATGACGGACAGAATCATTACCAGAAAGTTACCAGACTTTGAATATTCTTATAGTTTCGAACTCTCCCAAAAATCTCTTCATGCCTTTCTAGAAAAGCTTCTTCGAGAAGTCCTTCTGGCTTCCAGGATAGCTTCTTTTGATTTCCACAGGAATGTGATACTTTTTCGACTTCTCTAGATAAGTCTTTTTGACTTCTGATTTCTTCGGTAGTTTCTTCTGGCCTCTCCCGGAAATGTCTCCTGGCTGCCCTCGGACAATTATTTCGATTTCCCTTAGAAGACCTTTAGATTCGTTTTGAAGATTCTATAAAATTTCTCCTTAGTTTCTTATGGTTCTTCTAGAAGAAATTCTTCTAAGATTGTTTCTCAGGATATTAGAATCCGATGACCTGATGGATGTTAATTAAGAATTGCCATGACCTGATAACAGACGATTTGTGATTTCCCACTCACAGACTACAGAATAGAGTGCCTGACAGTGAAAAAGTTGTCTGTTCCCTAATTTATGTATTTCGATTGACATTCGACGCCCTTCTTTTTTTCCTATGCGACACTAAAAAAGCATTCCCAACTCACCTTCTCGTGGCGCCTGAGCTCGGAGATGTAGACAAAGGCCTTGTCGCACTGCGAGCATTGGTTCTTCTTGGTTTTGTCCTTCACCGTGGCCTGCTGGTTCTGGACGTTCAAGCCGTGCCGGGACGCCTCGTGTTTGACCTTGGCACTGCTCTTCCGGAATCTCAGCGGGCAAACGGAACATTTCAACCGCTTGGCCGGATCGTGCATCCCAAGGTGCTTGTTGAACACGGTAATTCTCTGGAAGGACACGTTGCACTCCGCGCAGTGCAACGATTTGTGATCCTGATGGTCCATCATGAGGTGGTGAATCAAGGAATTCTTGCTCGCCTGTCTGGCTTCGCACAGGTAGCATTTGAATAGCAGCTGCTTTGGGTGTTCCGTCATCGGCGGTGGATTGGTAAGATACGGCGGATCCGGATCGGTCAAACAGGGCTCTTCTTCGGTAAATTCCGTGGGTTCAACTTTTACCGCTTGCTTTTGCTCGTCGAAAAGGTTTTCCGGAATATCGTAATCTACGTCCGATGATGAATCGTAGAGTCCAGGGTCGCATTCCACCTGAATATTCGTTTCTTCCGAAGAATCTGTATCAATTTTCGGCATCTGTTTGTTCACTTGGTTTGGATCTAGCACAGTGGGCGTTGTTTGCTTGGCTGGCCGTTCCTCAACGGCACTTGGCTTTGGAAGTATAAATCTATCTTGCTTAACTGTCGGTACAGCGACAATCTTACCGAATTCAACCTTTTCGCTTGCCATCTTGACCAGAAGCCATTTGAACTTCCGGGCATTATCGGAAAGCTCCCGCCAGAAACTGTGAGCCATATCGATTTGTATGGTACATCGCTCGCAGAAGAAGCCCTCTACGGCGTACTCCTTCGCCGATTGAAACTGTCCAAAGTAAGTCTTGGCCATCCACTGGAGAGAATGTCCATCCCTCAGATTCATTTTCATGTTGCACATGTTGTCCACCGTATCGAAGTTAAGACACAACCGACAGCCTACTACCTGCATCAGTACGTTATCCCTGGAACGGAATTAACTATAAACCATAATTCCCAAACCAGAACACAAATCCTAATAGCTCACCGCACAAACAGCGTCGGTTCCCGGTACCCATTCTCAGTGGCTCCCAGCAGCTGGCCAGAGAAGTGCATATTGCAAACCCCTTTCTTTTCGCCCTGCCTCACCACAACCGGTTGACCACTTCCTATTTGAATCGCAGTCAACCATCGATTTTGAAGTTCCCTATCGTTAGGCAAATTGGTCACCCATTCCGGACGCTGGTTGACGCAATCCGGAACGCAGCACGCTGACGTCGATTCGATTCCTGTCGGCAGAGGAATGCCGATTTCGCACACTTCGCTAGGAATGGGGTAGATCTTAATTTGCGGTCCCGGCGTTGCCACTATATCTCCGAATGAAGATCCATCGTGGCCGATACTGTAGGAAGTTCCCGGATGGTCGTCATGCTTCAAATTAAGCGTCGGAACCCAATCGATGTTGTGCACGTCATCCAATTGAGCAGGCTTACCGGATACAAAGTGACGGCTACAGATCAGGGTGTGCGGCGCAGGAGGATCGTCTAGGTCACAACTAGTGGCCCACAAGGACCGACGTAGCATCATCTGCTGCCGAGCGGTAGGAGTGCCTCGGCTCCTAACAGCCGGAATACGAAACAGTTTGTGCTCCTTATGGGAGCTGTACACGAAGCAGGATGAAACGCCACATTTGCTTGGCATTGCGATAAATGGCCACTAGTTTGTCGGAAGCGGTGCAAATTTTTACTTATTTATGATGTTATTCGAGTACTTTGAGTACACTGGCGCTTTTGTACGTCTTTAGATGAGACTGTCACAGACGAATTCTTTGCTGAGCTGATGTATCACACCAATCCTAATGTTCCCTGGACTTCAAGATGCTAACGGAACCAACACTAGCAAACAAACTGACTTTTCTCGCACAGCTAGTTTTGTTTACGAAAATGAACCTTTTGTTGAGAGAGTTCATTCGTGTTCATTCTACACGGTAAGAAAAAAATACCGAAAGTCAGTTCTTTTCACTAAACCCTAATAAAAATGGTATGGTTAATTTGCTTGACGACGTATTCGGGGTATCATCCAAACCATTTGTGGAATTGTTCAATGATTTGGGTTATCGTTCGTTTGTGGTAATTTTTTATTAGGGAAGCCCTACAGTCCATACATTGATAAATTCAGTGCCAACATTTCAAAGGGGCGTAATTGCTTTTGTAAACAATGACTTTAGCCGTCAATTTCTCGCGAATGAAATCTTACCTCTCCAAAATTACAACGCTAGCTGGTAGAGAAAACATTCATCTACCTACTGGTGTCATTATTTTTCATGAGTGAGCTTTTATTCGAAAGAAAACGATGGCTAAAGCCATTGTTTACAAATGCAATTACGCCCCTTTGAAATGTTGGCACTGAATTGAACTATTCCCATTTTGCTTGAAATTTAATCAATTTGACAGCCTGAGGCTGTGAACCATTTGCCGAGTTAAATTTAACTCGTGGTTAAAAGTGACATTTCGAAAGTTATTCTCGATGTTCGAAAATCCTTGAGCTGCCGATCGACCGGTCTTCGAGAAGAACTCAGCCACGGTTGTCAACATTTAACTTCTTGTCTGTCAGAAATAACCACGCTCGGATAGCAGGGTCAATCGATAACTTTATATCTGTCAAATTTTAACCAAAAGTTAAAATAATCCACCAAATGGTTCAGAGCCTGAGTTATTCTCAGTGGGCGTGTTGGTGCTCATTCTGGCGTTTATTTGTTTGTTTACTGTGTAGGCTTTCGTTTTCACAGAGAGGTTTACAGTTTTACGACTCGTCTGAGTTGATCGGTTGCGCGGCGGTTTCTATCGATTCTCGGCACTTTCGGCCTTTGCTCAATCCGCTATGCCAACCTGTGTCGTACCCGGTTGTATAAATCTTCTCCAGGAATGGACGACCTGGTTTCCGCGCGCTCCTCGCCTGGTAAACCGCTGGTTGGCAGCCATCGAAGTCGGAACCGGGCAAGAAGTTCCCCAGTTTCAACCGCAGGAGGCACAGATCTGCAATATGCACTTTGCCGTTCCGGTACAGAAGGACGGCGATGAAATTGTCGAGAATGCGGATGAGAATGAGTACCGAGAACCGACGTTGTTTTTCCGGTAAAATCGAGAACCTTGTATCCGTGGTATGATTCAGTAGTTTATTTGTTTATTGGAATTTTTATAGGGAAAACGTGCTGATCCAGATTGCCAACTGTGAGTTGTGCCTGCGCTTCGATACCGTTAATGACATGTACAAGCTTTCGGAGCGTATCGTCTCGGGTGACAATGAAACCTTGTATTCACTGGCCAGAAAGTACTTAAACTTTCCGAAGAAGAGACCGCAAGTAGGGCAATATTTTTGCGAAAGCTGTGTAATTCAAATCGATATGACCCATTCCTTTTGGCGAAAGATTGATGCTGCCTGGAAGGGTCACAAAAAAGTATTTAAAATGATGACACAGGAGAAGGTGGTATTCCGGAACAATGGCTTATTTCTGAACGAGGCGAACACTGTTCTCTTGGAGATACACCCGGTTACGACTATCAGTTTAGATTCGTCAGATGAAGCGGAAGAAAGTAATCCTAGTAAAGTAATTGCAATAGATTCAGATTCGGACAACGATGGCATGGAACAATTTGAGGATATTATCGTAAAGGAAGAGACACAACTAGACTTTTCAGATTCCATGGAACAAATGCCGGTGGCTACTCCGAACGACACCAATAACTCATGCAAATGTTACATATGCAATAAATCGTTCCAAGATAGAGACATTTTAACGGAGCACATAAGTAGTTCGCATCTGGAAAAATATAAGCGCGCTTGCAAGAACTGTAATCGCTCGTTCTCCTCGGCACTGTTCTACAACGATCATATGGCCACCCACAAACCGTATTGCTGCAACTACTGTCCACTGGAATTCGACGAGCGACGGGAGGTGGTCTTTCATGAAGTGCAGCAACATGCTGGGGCAAAACTGCACGAACATTGCGGCGGCTGTGGGAAGCTTTTTCGAAGTAAGACCTCGCTGGAGGAACACATGCAGGTAGGCGATATAGAAGAGTTGGTGCCGAGGCCAATCTAACAGTACTTTGCTTTATTTTCAGACTGAACACTGTTCTTCGTAACAAGAGATGAACTAGCCTCAGGCTAAAAATCTCTAAAATAAAGATTTAAAAAAAAAAAAAATGTTCTTCGTAACGATTTAAAAAGGTAAGCTAGTTCAGAAACTGAATAAGGAACATGCTGATTTAGAATTAAAGATAGTCGCCGTAAGATAACAATTGACATGCATTAAACAATTTTTAAGCAACGAAGTGCCTGCTTCACTGTCGATGACAATGGCCATTTGCGGAACCGGAAGGCCAAGATCGCAAACTGAATCCGGTTCCGTGCTCAAACAAAAGATCTATGGGTAATAATTCTTTTGGAACAGAAAAAAAGCATATAAGAAGTAGGACGGAATGGAAGTTTTTATTTCTACCTAAAGCTGCAAACAAAAAATATGAGGCGCTTCTAGTGCTAAATATTATCTACTCATGTTTAATTAGTTTTCATATTATTATTCCTTGTTGGGACCCTCCGGGTAATCCCGATAATTTCCCTTCGATCCTCGGGTTTCTTCTAGTGAGTAATTCTCGTTGAAACCAGGCCACCATTGACACATGGGTTTTACATATTTTAATATATCCGTTTGCTTTTTAGATTGGCACTTTCCTTAGCCCTAATTAATGGTCCCCTCGCTCACCAAGAGACCTTACAGTTTTTGAAACAGTTGAATTTATAGCCTTCTGCAAACAACACGTTATTATGAAGTGAAGAGCTTTCATTCGGAATGGAAATTTTTTTGGTTACCATATTGGATTTTATCAGATTAGGTCCCCAATCGACACAGGGGACATGGCTACTATTGTTTGGATGTATTTAAAGGCATCGTGTGCACCAACTGTGCACAAAACTATATTCGGTACCACATAATAGTCATAATAGTTATTGATTTATTTTTGAATGCTCCAAGAATTCTAGAGATAATATTCTCAATGACTAAAAGGGTGTTGTGATCAAAATTTGGTCGAACACCCCTCATTTTGTAGGTGTGTGCGTGCAGAATGATGTCTCTATTTTGATTTTGACATTTGATCTTCAATTATCAATGTCATTGCGCAAAACAGTCAGGTTCCATGAGTAATTTTTACCCTTTTCACCTCATAATTCACTGCTTCGTGAGAGTCTGAATGATTGGGAAGTAGACGAGTCACTGACAGACGAGCGCTCCAGTCAGCACGTTTATTCTTCCGTTATGCTACCCAACCCTTGTTTTGAATGATTGAGCGTACAATTTCTATGGAAAAATGCCTCAATTACATGCTGTGTGAGCGAAGACAAGCGGTAAGAGTCGCCTGTTCGTGAGTGACTGAATCCTGATAGAGCAATGAATTGAATCCAATAATTTTACGCTCTGAACAAAGTGACGTCCAAGCAAGAGGAGAAACGCACATCGCGAAAATTCGAACTACGTCAAGGCAAACAACTTCCCGGACAGGAGTTTTATACGGCAACGGGAAGGGGAAAGATCGCAGACATTTTCAAGCATATGAAACTGTCGAAGTTCGCTAAGAACTATCTGGTTTGGCAGGCTATCTGTAGCTGTGGCTAGAAAAAGAACAATTTCATTGGAACTGGGACCGTCAAACAGGAAATTTAAGTGAACGAGTGTCTGGAAAAACGACTGCTGCCTTTCCTGAAGCAACACGATAGTTCCATAGAGGTAACTCTAAGACCAGAGGGTCCCGAAGAAACGAGTTCAACTTTTTGGCTCAGCTCTGGTACTATCTTCGGTCTCAAGCTAATCGATGCACCCCTCCAAACATAGGAAAATCCACTAACCCCTAATTTTATCTGTCAAACTTTCATAGCGAATCAAAACAAACATAATGTAGTACTGGAATTTATATTATAATGGGGTCGTTAGTCGATTTGCTTGGGACTAATAGGCTAGTCAAGTAGTGAGCCAATTTAAAATCGTTAGTTTCGTATTGATTGTTGATTGTTCCGTGTTGCCGTGCTTCCAAAGTCGGATTTGGCATCCTGCCATTATGGAAAAAGGCCAGAGTTGGTTGGAAATGCTATCTAACATGAAGCTTGTAGATTTGAAGACATACTTCCAATCTCCGCGTACATCGTACGGGTTAAGCAAAGAGTGTGCGTTTGACTTGCACTGTCGCATTAATGGCCCTTCGCTCATTTTCAACTTCTATTCAATATTCATACTGCCGGACTCTAACGGAACTATCTACCTACCCTCTTCTAAGAGCACCGCCACGGGAGGCGCTATCTCTATCCCTATAATAAGGCTCCATCTAGGTAGCTATTTTAGCTTAGCACCCCATTCTTCCACCGGTAATGCATATTTTGAGTTTAGTGACTTGAGTAATGTCTTTTCATCGTGTATTGCTAAAACTCAAAACAATATACATACCCACGAAGAACATCGTCATATTGATGTAATATTTCATTTTTATCAGTCGATCGATGTGCAATAGTTGTGTAGTTATATCATGAATATTCCAAATGCATTGACGGCAGATTGTTTCCCGGGAGCAGCTGATTCCATCGTTTTAAGTGACGAGGAAGACATTGAAGTTGTAAATCATTATGTTTACCAGTCACATGAACTGTTGTTAAGGGCTTTGGGAGAAGACGAGAAAAATCGAGCTGGAGGATCTCGGCCTGGAAAAAAACCGAATATCAACAGAGGTGCTCATCTAGGAGCTGAGCGACTGTTTCATGATTACTTCTCCGAGAATCCCACGTATAGTGATTCACAGTTTCGGCGGCGGTTTCGAATGTCCCGAAACTTGTTTACAAAGATTGTTGCAGAAATAGAAGCCGCGAATCCTTACTTCGTGCAAAAGCGAGATGCGGCTGGTAAACTAGGATTAACTGGCCTTCAAAAATGCACCGCCGCAATCCGTCAGCTTGCATATGGCATGCCAGCGGATGCTGTAGATGAATACATCAGGATGGCAGAGACAACAGCGCTGAAATCTCTTGTGGAGTTTTGTGAAACCACTGTTCGTATTTACGGCCCCTAGTACCTACGCTACCCAAAACCTGACGATGTGGAGAGGTTGTTGCGTGTTGGAAAGAGTCGTGGATTTCCTGGAATGCTAGGATCCTTAGACTGCTGCCATTGGACATGGAAGAATTGCCCTACAGCATGGGCCGGCCAGTTTTGCGGAAAAGAGAAAAAACCAACAATCGTCCTGGAAGCAGTAGCAAATTACGATCTTTGGATCTGGCATGCCTTTTTTGGGATGCCAGGTTCAAATAATGACATTAATGTTCTTGACCGCTCTCCATTATTCTCGGAGATATACAATGGCTAAATACACAGTAAACGGGCGACAATACAGCGTTGGCTACTATCTTGCAGATGGTATTTACCCACCACTAGCAACATTGGTACAGACAATTTCTTCTCCAGTTGGACTAAAAAAGAAGGTAACAAGGATTTTTTTAATATAATTTTATCCGAGATTTTATCAAAGAAAAATTAGACTCTGATACATCTGATACATGTTATTTTCTCATATTCTCAGCACTACGCACAAATGCAGGAGTCTGCCCGGAAGGATGTCGAGCGAGCGTTTGGTGTATTGATGTCGCGGTTCGCTATCATTAAAACACCGGCTAGGCTCTGGCAAAAAGATGTCTTGGAATCAATAATTACAGCTTGCATTATTATCCATAACATGATCATTGAAAATGAAAAAGATGATCCAACGATCTGTGAAGCGAACCCTGAAAGCAACATCGATGAAATTACAGCTGACATCCATCGGATAGGTCCAGAAAATCAGGAGAAATTTGAGACATTTTTGTCGCGGTACAAAGCTGTTCATGATACTAACCAGCACTTTCAATTGAGGAATGACCTAATAGAGCATCTATGGGCAATGAAAGGAGAAGAAGATGAGGAAGAAGATTAAAGTGATGAATTTTCAGGTTTCAAATATGTTCCAGTAATCTACACTACAGCTTCAATAAAAACTAGAGTATAAATTCTGGTAAAAATAAAGCAATGTGGATTGATAAATACCACTACAGTCTGGTCTACCAAACTCGATAATGAATATGGGGTTATTAAACTTGGCAAAGTATGAGCATGTACTCTTGAAGATGGTATCGTCCCTGCCAGGTTCAAGTTCATTTTCTATAACATTACATCTTCCGTAAAGCTGGGTTTAGATAGGGCAAGTCAGTTGAATTCAACTGACTTGAATGCGAATTGAACGTGTAAACCATGCCATTCAACTGACTTGATCAACTCACTTGAATTGAAAAAAAGTTGAACCAGGCTCAACTTTTCAAGCCAATTGAATTCAACTGAGTTGATCAATTGACATGCCTTGTCTCAACTCAGCTTAACTCGATATCCTCCCTAATTGAATTGTGGCTTCAGTATTAAAGTGTCGAATGTATTAAGGAGCATCCATTAATTGCGTCATGCGAGATTGAGGTAAAATTAATCCCCCTCTGCCATTCGTTACGTTTTTGTTATATTTTATGCATTGCTTGTCATATATTTCTAAGCCCTCTTCTTCCCTTAGAGTGAGATGTAATCAATGGATGCCCCCTTGGGTTCGTTCTGTATTCTGGGAACCAGAATGATCAAGTAGGGACACAATGAGACTGGTGATGTTCGTAATGCTTCGTTACGTAAAATGATAAAGTTGGATAGGGGATATCCCCCAGCCCAGACATCTCTCAATACCGTACATTGCTGATTTCCATGATTTCAAAGGTAAATTTGTATCACTAATATGGTGGAAGCAGGGCGTCACAATATCAGCTTCAATCGACCAAATCGATGCGACGAGAGACTGCTGGCTTTCTTTTTCTGTTAAAGTCGAACAGCTTCGCAGCATTCTAGAACCTCAGTCGGCGTGCACAAACAAATGTTCAATCGCTTGTCTCTCTTTCTCCCGTCGCTCGATTGGTCTTCCTTTCAAGCTTCGTCGAAACGGATGAGCGAAAGAGCGCTCGACTTTGATAGTTTTCTCTTTCATGAAACACATCAACAGAGGTTTCATGACGTATATGACGGAAAATGAAATAACACATTTAAAGCATTTCTCACGTCAAAACACTTGAAGATTACACGTCATATTTTTAATTTATTTTCCATCCATATATTTATCTAAACAAAATGATCGAAAACGGGACATAACGCATTTTAAACAAATTGAAAGAGCGGTGATAGAGTGTTCGTGAAAGGGGATTGAAAGCCATAATGAGGTTTCGTTTAACTAGAAAATCGACGTTAGTTACATTGAAAGCGATGAGCAAAGCAACGACGAGAAGTTCCACAGCCAGCCTTTCCTTCTAAGCGTCCTGCTTTTTTTATTTTCGTTTCTTGCTGATAGTCTAGCTAGGCGTTATAGAAATGAAGCGTCGAACACGTATGTATGAGAGAAACAAAACACGAGTTCATTTTAGAGCTTCGAAATTGTAGAGCCCTGGGTGGAAGCATAAAACAAGAAGTAAGAAGAAGCATACATTCCAAAACACATGATTAACATGAAATACTGTGATAACCATCACAACGAAACAAAGAAAAAAAAACATTCGGAATCTGACTGCAAAATGGAACTATCTTCGGAGCAAGACTCATTCTCTGAATTGGATGGCGCCTCGGCACACGCCTCGGGAACCCAGATGCTCTCATCAGTGTTGGAATCTGCGTTTGATCTCGCATCCAGGATATGAATATAGCCTACGTCATATTCATCCTCAGAATCAGCAGGTGGGGTTGGAACGGTTTTGGTGGCATCGTTGCTGTTTGAATCGGCATTTACTTGCGGACCCGGAGGCATTGCTGTGTCGTCTTAATTGATGGGTACTTCCAAAAGAATCTCTTCATAAGACTGGCCGCAACCAAATTGTCCCACATTATCCATAGCAGCTTTTCGTGTTTCGTTGAGGATACGTGTTTGTTCCAGAATATAGAATTCTCTGGCCATACCAGTCATTTTATCCAAGTCGATTGACATTATAGCATGGTTCACCATTTGCTTGTAAGCCACAGTTCTCTGGATGCTGTCTTCGAGTTTTTTTTTGTCAAAGCAGCTAAAATTCTCCCATTATCTGCCATTGCCATACTAGCATCCGCCAAGCTTTTCCTTGACGCTTCCGCTGTTTTGCTTGCTTTCTGTCCCATTGGCCGAGAGCATCCAGCTCCGGAAGTATTCTCCGCTTCGTCACATGGTAATCCAACTGCTTGCTCCTCTTCCGCTTCTTGAGGAGTGGCTGAGCGTTTACGCCTCCCAGTTACTGTTGATTTCTGAACAAAAATATGAAAGAAATCATTTTGTACATACATATTCAAGCTGGAAAAACCTACCTGTTTTGCTGTGGCTTGTTGGATCCATTTTGGAGCACCCTCCAAAATCTTGAAGCAGTGCATCAGACTGAATGATGTTCCTTCCTTGGTGTTATACAGCATAAGCGCTTGCTGCAACACGTCCTCCGGAGAAGCACCGCTTTGTTGCCGGGATTGAACCTGTGCCAGGCAGCCAGCAAACTTATTCACGCTTCTGTTTATGGTTGACCACCTGGACTTTATCCCTTTCATTCCCCGCCGCTCGGGGTCAACAGCAAAGTTTTTCTCCCGGCAGATTTCTGCAAAAATTTGCTGGATTCTGCCATACAATGTTTCTGCCTTCTGATTTGTTCCTGTGATGGGGTCCTGGGACCAGTGCTGCAAAATCTCGACAATACACGGTGATATTGACAATTCTGCTTTGGTCACTTATTTGAACTAACAGTCATAGTCAAGGCAAACCATGTCAATTGTCAATGACAATGCTGTCAGTGACGAACATGTGTAGATTTTTATATTAACTAAATTTGTAACGAAATTTACTGACTTGAGCAACACAATTACATGAAGCCGTTAATGTGAATAAGCATCTACCTCCTGAACTACTTGGTTAACAATAATGTGACACAGAATGTATGAAATTACACTTTTTGTTACCAGGAGAATCTTTGTCATTGACGAAAACATGAATGAGATTTTGACGAAGGTTTTTTGAGGATCAAGTCTGTCAGTGACTATGTGACGAACAATTCTGTCAATATGGCGCGAAAGTCTGTCAATGACAATGACAAATCTCAGCACTGCCTGGGACACATCCAACCACGCGAGACAAAGCGCCGTATCTTCTTCGGATGTCCAGCTTTTTCCTCTTGCTTTGGTATTCATCCTCAAAAAAATGAAATTTAATGCACTGCGAAACAAATCGAAACGTAAACTTAACCACGAAACGTAAACAGAAAAAGTGCGAAGCAGAGCAGCAGTGTCACAAGCAAACAAAATAGCGACCCAGTGCAGAGTTTTAGTGGGGCGCCAAATATGAAAACTCATAACTTGATTTTTGTTGCGTTCTCATTTCCCAACCCCGTTTAGCTACTACCGGTGCGGGCATAAGTTGCTATATGGGGCTCGAAAATAGAGATAGGGATCCGTATGGGGACTCCCGTGGCGGTGCTCTAAGACCATTATCTATCGCATAAATTAACACACTAAAGCTTCATGTTAGATAGCATTTCCAACCAACTCTGAAAATCGCAAACTTCGCGTATGAAGTAACATTAAAAATGAATGTATCTAACATTTATTTGGTGAGTGACATAACGACTACGTTTCTTCTCTTGGGTCACTTTTTAGTCACTATTTTTTTTTTTTTTTTTTTTTCCTTTGGTTTGTTTACCGTCGATCTTGTTTTCCGTGCTGAGCACCAATGCTACCGACGCGCCAGGAACGCAGCTCCCACACCTGGACCCTACCTATCGACCCATCAACTCATGAACCGGGGACCAACGGCTTTACTTCCCTTCCGAAGGAAGGCGTGATCAGAGATGTTATGCCTCAGAACATCCCGGCGGCGCCGACTGGGATTGAACCCAGGCCTGCTGGGGTGAGAAGTAATCACGCTTACCACTACACCACCGGCGCCGTTAGTCACTATTTTGACAACTATAAGTCACTATTTGGTCACTTCTTTCTTCAACATGGTCACTAAATCACTATTTTTGACAGCAGTGATCGCTACCAGCCCTGACTATTTAACGAGTTTTGTCATGGTAGTGATATCGACATGTTTAGAAGACCATCGGAACGGATTTTAAACCTTCTTGAAGCAAACCAAGGCCGAAGATTTAATTTAGCCATACTATAAAATATAGACTGTTCCAGAAAGTATAAGCACACTTTCAAAATAATAAAAAAAAGTGATGTTTTTTTAAGTTTTAATAATTTTATTTGGCAAATCATATTTGTATTTGTATTTGTATTTCAAATGATATTTTACTCTCGTTTAATCAACATATTTAATCATAGCCAAGACTCCTAACTTTTCCTCGAACATGACCCATTAGCTTCTGCACAGTGGTACTTTCCACCATTTTGACCAATTTTGACCAATCTTTTTTGAATTTTTGGATGTCGTCCGCTGGTTTTATTAATTTTCGAAGCTTTGCTTTGGTTAAAGCCCAAAAAGTCTCGTGGCCGTGCCTCCGGGCAGTTCGGCGGATTCATGTCTTTCGGCACGAAACATACAATTTGACTTTTGTACCATTCTAAAGTGTCCTTTGCGTAATGACATGACGCCAAATCAGGCCAAAATACTACTTGACCTTCGTGCTGCCTGATCACCGGCAACAATCGCTTCTGGAGGCATTCCTTAACGTATTTCTGAGTGTTCATCGTCTCCGTTGTGATGTACGGACTAGATGTTTTACCACACTCGCATATTGCCTGCCAAACCATAACCTTCTTACCGAATTTTTCGGTAAAAATTGCCTTCTCCATTTCGGGGATGTCCTTGCCTTCGTTAACAGTATAGAATTGTGGTCCGGGAAGCGTTTTGTAATCTAGTTTCACGTAAGTTTCGTCGTCCATTATTATACACCCAGAATTTCGACACAATAACGAATCGTAGAGTTTGCGGGCCCGTGGTTTCACGGACGCGGCCTGTTTTGGGTTCCTTTTGGGTTTTTTCTGCTTCCGGTATGTTTTTAGCCCAAGTCTTTCTTTG